CCAAATGGAGCAAAACATTTTCAGATCCAGCGAGAAATCAACGATCTAGCCCAAGGTACTCTCGACATCACTAGTTACTACACAAAGCTGAAGAAACTATGGGAAGAACTCAATGCTTTAGATGCTAGTGTTCTGTGTAATTGTGCATGTGCGTGTGGAGCAAAGGCAAACTCACACAAGGTTGAACAGGACAGGCAATTGATCCAATTTCTTATGGGATTGAATGACGTTTACACTGTGGTTAGGGGGAGTAACTTAATGATGAATCCTCTACCAACTATAGCACAAGGATTCTCTATTCTCATTCAGGAGGAAAAACAACGTGAGATCAGGCCATCAAATCAGTCCATCATTGAATCCACTTCTCTAAATGCTGGAACTCACAATGCAAGTAGAAATCAGTTTAGGACAAACTACACTCAGCACACAAACGTCAACAATTCGAGAGGCTACTACAATCAACATCAAAATCCTGGTGCAAGTGGAAATCAATCTTACAGAACAAATAAGTCACAGACAAACAGGTCCCAATTGTTTTGTGATTATTGCAGAAAGCAGGGTCATACTAAGGAAAAATGCTATCGATTGCATGGATTTCCAGCAGACTTCAAATTTACCAAGGGAAGAAATGCAGGAACAGCAGCACATGTTCATGGAACTGGGTCTGAACCTGATGATAACTATCAGAATCAAGGTCAACACCTTACAAAGGATCAGTATGACCAACTGATGCAACTTCTGGATAACTTCCAAGTGGGAAATGCTGCTGAGGCCCCTCAAAATGATGTTGGTGGGGCTGCAAACTTTGCAGGTATATTGGCTTGTTCTTCTCATAAAGAGTTAATGAGTAATCTATCATGTAAATGTTTCAAATCTTCTGCTGAATATTGGATCGTAGACTCTGGTGCTTCAAATCATATGTCCTCAGATAGAAAATTATTGACCAACACTAGACCCTAGCCATATCCTTTTCTAGTTACATTGCCTAATGGTTACAAAGTGAAAGTCACAGAAATAGGTGATGCTGTCTTGAGTCCAAAATTGACTTTAAACAAAGTACTCTTTGTCCCTAGTTTCAAATATAATCTGATCTCCATTCACTCTTTAACAGTGCAATCTAATTCCATTGTTAATTTTTCTGCTCATACATGTATGTTGCAGGCCCCTTCAATGAAGAAGCCTTTGGAGCTTGGTAAATCAAGAAATGGTTTATATTACCTCTGCTCAAAATGTCAGTTCGCCAGCTCAAGTTCAAATCATGTTCATTCTCTTGCTGCTTGTAGTTCAGCTTGTGGGAATTGTTCCATGTCTAATTGTAAAAACCTTGTTTGTTCTATGTCGAATTGCAAGCATTCTGATAATAAAATTGTTGATTCCTGTACTATGTCTTCTGCCTGCTCCTCTTCTCCTAATACTTGTATTGATTACTTGTGGCATAATAGATTGGGACATGTCCCATTTGTGAAAATGAGAAACATATCCAGCATTCCAATAAGGTTTGCCCCTAAACAACCTTTTACCTGCACTATCTGCCCCATGGCAAAACAAACAAGAATGCCTTTCCCTACCAGTACTTCGTTCTCATCCAAACCTTTTGACCTTTTACATTTGGATTTGTGGGGACCCTACCATATGCCTACACATGATCATTATAAATACTTCTTAACTATAGTTGATGATCAAAGCAGATCAACATGGGTGCATCTTTTGAGTTGCAAAAGCAATACTCTACAGGTCATCAAGTCTTTTGTCAAATTAATAGAAACTCAGTTTCAAGCAACCATAAAAGCCATTAGGTCAGACAATGGGCTGGAGTTCACCAGTAAAGAAGCAACCTTTTTCTATCAATCCAAAGGCATTGTTCATCAAAAATCTTGTCCATACACACCTCAACAAAATGGTGTGGTGGAAAGAAAACACAAATACTTACTTGAAGTTGCCAGATCCCTCATGTTTCAATCCAAAGTGCCTCTTAGGTACTGGGGAGAATGCATCCTCACAGCCACTTATTTGATCAATAGACTACCCTATACCATTTTGAAAGGCAAATGTCCTTATGAACTCTTGTACCAAAAGAAACCTACATACTCTCACCTTAGAACTTTTGGGTGTTTATGCTACCCCACAGTCACCAAACCTCACAAAGATAAATTTGAACCCAGGGCCACTCCTCATGTGTTTGTGGGATACTCTTTTCACACAAAAGGGTATAAGGTTCTCAATCTAGCTACTAAAACAATACATGTATCTAGAGATGTCAAATTTCTTGAACATATTTTTCCTTTTGATGTTTCTTTTTTTCCATCTGCTTGTGTACCAACTGCTATTTTGCCTTCTTCTTGGGACAATGATCATGCTAACGTTCGAAATATGCATACACCTTTATTTAGGACTGACACTCTTGAACCAATAGGTCAAGTTCTTGAACCCCATGTACCAGGACCATCTCCTATGGCTACACCAACCTCTCCTCATAATTTTCCACACCCTCATCAACCTGCTGCACCTGAACCTAGAAGATCCACCAGACATCATGTTAGACCATCTTATCTCCAAGAATATGTTTGCACATTGCCTTCCTCAAAGGACCAAGATTTTGCCCAACCTACCAACACTTCTACTTCCTTCAATGCTCTTTTCACCAACAAACATCACATTCCTTTTACTGCCCTTAGTTGTGATAATCAGCAGATTATAAGAAACTTGTCATATGATAGTGAACCCAACTCTTATGATGAGGCTGCCATGACCCCTGCTTGGCAAGCAGCCATGACTCAAGAGTTTGAGGCTTTGCATGCTAATCATACTTGGAATTTAGTTCCTCTACCTGCAGGTAAGAAGGCCATAGGATGCAAATGGGTGTATAAAGTGAAACACAAGGCTGATGGCAGTGTTGAGCGTTTTAAAGCTAGGCTGGTGGTAAAAGGTTATACCCAGCAAGCAGGTATTGACTATACCGAGACATTTTCACCTGTGGTTAAAATGACTACAGTGAGAACCTTGCTTAGTATTGCTGTTAAAAAGGGATGGGGTATTTACCAGTTAGATGTCAATAATGCATTCCTGCATGGTGACCTGAATGAAGAAGTTTTCATGGAAATTCCTCAAGGATTGGAGGTTGATTCTCCTGGCCTGGTTTGTCACCTAAAGAAGTCTCTATATGGTTTAAAACAAGCCAGTAGACAATGGTATGATAAGCTTACTGATGCTCTCTGCACAAAATGTTTCATTCATTCAACCAGTGATTATTCCCTTTTCTACAAAGTAACCCCATCCTCCACTGTGTTTGTGGCTGTGTTGTGGATGATATCATTCTTACTGGTACTGACTTCCAGGAAATTCAAGATCTTAAGTCCTTTCTCCATTTTCAGTTCAAGATCAAGGATCTAGGCAAGCTGCATTATTTTCTAGGATTGGAGGTTATTTACCAGGATGATGGCCTTATCATTTCTCAGAGAAAGTTCACAATGGATCTTATCAAAGAGTTTGATTGCCTTGGGTATTCTCCTGTCTCCTCTCCACTTGATAGCTCTGTTAAGTTGCATGCCTCAGAGGGGGTATTGCTGCCTAATCCTGCATATTACAGAAAGCTTGTTGGAAAGCTAAATTTTCTCAGCAACACAAGGCTAGACATTGCTTATAGTGTACAACACTTAAGCCAATTTATGCAAGCTCCAAGAGAACCTCACCTCAAGGGAGCTATACATGTACTTAGGTACTTAAAAGGTGATCCCACTTTGGGACTGTTTCTGTCAAATACTCCTAACTATGAACTCAGGGCATATTGTGACTCAGATTGGGCTTCATGCCCAGATTCAAGAAGATCAGTTAGTGGTTATCTTGTGCTACTTGGGGACTGTCCTATTAGTTGGAAGTCCAAGAAACAAGAGACTGTTTCATTATCCTCTGCAGAAGCAGAATACAGATCCATCAGGAAGGTCGTGGGAGAATTGATATGGGTTAGAAGGCTCCTAGATGAATTAACCATCCCATGTTCTGCACCTACTCCAGTGTTCTGTGATAGCCAAGCTGCTGTTCACATAGCTCGAAACCCTGTGTTCCATGAGCGTACCAAACACATCGAAGTAGATTGTCATTTTGTTCGTGATAAATTACAAGATGGGCTTATATCCTTGCATCACATCTCCACAGTAGATCAACTAGCAGACATTTTAACGAAAGCCCTCACTGGAATCAAACATATGCATCTTTTGGGCAAGTTGGCTGTGACATCTCCACCTCCAACTTGAGAGGGGGTATTGAAATATTATGTAGTAGTTTAATCAAATAGTTAGTTGGCACTGTTCAAATCAGTTAGTTGGCACTGTTCATAGTTAGTTAGAGGCATTAGCTTAATTAAGCATTGTATAGAATCAGTTGAGTTAGTTAGAAAATCTAGATATTTTTACTTGCTCAAGATACGTGTATATATACATTCAACATTACTTGGAATAAGATACTTTTCTTCTTCCCCAAACAATCTGCATATTTTCATTCATCTGTTCAAAGTTGTATTCATACAGTTCATGTGACCTCCATTAATGGAGGTCTGGTAATCTCAGTTTATCACCTCTCAACAGTTACATTATTTGACTGGACACAAATTAGCATACTGTTGATCCATATCGACTACATTCGGGCATCATTTGGTTAGGAAAAAGAGATTTAACTTTTGTGCATAGAGTGTAAAATGAACATGGATAATTATTCCCTCGTATCCTAATTATCTCCAAATTCAGTTTTCTTTTTGGACTGAAAAGCTATCATTTTGTAATCCTAAATATCCGAGAACTATATTACCAAAAAAAATAAAAATATCAGAGAACTAGTCATTAATAAATAGGTAAACGTCGAAGTTTTCTCTTCAAGTTGGAAGTTTCTCATGGGGACCAAACACAGTCTTCCATTGGCTTGGGACCCAAAGGAGTAATATTGGTAGTGAAAAGTCCACAGAGCTTTAAGTATCCAACAAACGCAGGCGCATTCATAATAATATTGAACTCTCAATTCTTTTCTTCTCTTGGAAACAGTAGGAAGGAAAAGAATCAACATAGTTAGTACAAATGTATTTTTGTAGGGGAACCATTATGCTTAAATATTCAACATTAATCCTCATCTTTCTGCAAACATGCAATGCTTGGATGATCGAATCCTCCTACTGTCCCCCTTCTGCTTGTGGCCATATCCGTAACATAAGCTACCCTTTTCGCTTAAACACTGATCCAAAAGATTGCGGAGAGGATCCAGCATATGAGTTAGCTTGTGAAGGTAACCAAACTGTCATATCGTTATTCTCCAAGAAGCTGTATGTGCAAGCCATCAACTATAATAATGGGACAATTCACCTGGTAGATCTAACTTTACAAACACAAGATGATCTATGCTCTTTGAGATCTCACCCTAACTTCAACCAATACTATATAATCTCTAAATCAGAATTCTCTAAATCAGATATTGTTAGAATTACAAAATTTCAAATAAGTGCAGAGCCCATTTTCATGTTCAACTGTCCAATTGCTGTTAATAATTCTTCCACATTTCTAGAAATTAGAGGCTGCAAATTTAGCAGATACACTTATATAAAGATTGGAAAAATGCATGTCGGTGAAGTGAGTGATGGATGCAGAGCAGAATTTATAGGCCTGACCTCATGGCCTAATATTAAAAATGCAGAGAACAACATTTCCCTTTCTGATTTTCATCAAGCACTCCTCTACGGATTTGACATTTATTATCCGAATCAGCAACGTTTTGAAGAAAGGAGGACAAGTAAGGACTTCAATTATTTATGCGAATTAACATTCTTTTCCATCCTAAGAAATTAGGAAAACAATGGATTCACTCACTACAATTTAATTTCTTCATGTCTTTGTAGGTGTTCTTGAAAAGATTGTCGGTGAGGACTCAAACTTTTCTCTACATAGACTTTGAATTCTCCATATGATTCACTCACTATATATGCTTCTTAATTAACATTTCTTTTCCATCCTCAGAAATTAGGAAAACAGTGGATTCACTCACTACAATTTAATTTCTTCATGTCTTTGTAGGTGTTATTGATTGGATTCGCTGTGAGGACTAAAACTTTTCTCTACATATACTTTTAATTATCCATTGATCTCTCATTCTACACTTTTTGCACTTTAATCTAACCAGGGAGCAGTATACCGCTACTTCAGCTTGTCGCCAGTAAGCTCCTATATATCCCTTCAGCAAGCTGTATGTTATTTGGATGGACACACATTAGCATTCCATTGATCTTAAATTTTCGCAAAAATAATCTAACTTAAGTGAGGAGCACAACACAAGAATTGCAAAATAGAACAACTCCAAATATATTACCGTTAGTGAAGTTATTAATACCAATCTAAATTTGTAAAAAATAATTTTGAACTGTCAGATTTTTTCCTCTTATTAAGGTTCTGTTTAGAAAGTCACCCTGTTAATTAGATTTTGTGTAATTGAGTGTAATTACAATGTTTGGCCTGTTTGGTTGACTAGGTAATTACTTAGTGAGCAGGTGATTGGGTGTAATTGACAGGGTAATTACACTCTCCAATTCTCAGGCAGGGGATGTGAATTGTTGTAATTACATGGTGTAATTACAAGCTAATTACTTTAATTTCTTCTTTTTATTTCTACTAGTATATGTGCCCGCGCGTTGCGCGGATGATTTAAAATGTAATAATTTTTATAATTAAAAATAACTAATAAAATATATAATGCACTTAATAATATATTTAATTTATTATAATAACAATATAATAATACAAATCATTAACTTGTGTATTTGAGCAATATTAAATTTACATTATTAGTACACATTTTAATTTATTGTAATAAAATAATATATATATATATATATATATAT